TGGCAAGGAATGCAGGGGGGTGAGCAGTGTTGGAAGAGGATGTCAGGGAATGCAGGGGTGAGCAGTGTTGGAAGAGGATGTCAGGGAATGCAGGGGTGAGCAGTGTTGGGAGAGGGCGGCAGGGCATGCAGAGGTGAGCAGTGTTGAAGGTGGTAGGGCATGCAGAGGTGAGCAGTGTTGGAAGAGGGTGGCAAGGAATGCACAGGTGAGCAGTATTGGAAGAGGGGTGGCAAGGAATGCAGAGGTGAGCAGTATTGGAAGAGGGTGGCAAGGAATGCAGAGGTGAGCAGTATTGGAAGAGGGTGGCAAGGAATGCAGAGGTGAGCAGTGTTGGAAGATTGTCAGGGTATGTAGAGGTGAGAAGTGTTGGAAGAGGGTGGCAAGGAATGCAGAGGTGAGCATTATTGGAAGAGGGTGGCAAGGAATGCAGAGGTGAGCAGTGTTGGAAGAGTGTCAGGGTATGTAGAGGTGAGCAGTGTTGGAAGAGGGTTGCAGGGAATGCAGGAGTAGCAGTATTGGAAGAGGGTGGCAGGGAATGCAGAGGTGAGCAGTGATGGAAGAGGGTGGCAAGGAATGCAGAGGTGAGCAGTTTTGGAAGAGGGTGGCAAGGAATGCAGAGGTGAGCAGTAATGGAAGAGTGTCAGGGCATGTAGAGGTGAGCAGTGTTGGAAGAGGGTTGCAGGGAATGCAGGGATAGCAGTGTTGGAAGAGGGTGGCAGGGAATGCAGAGGTGAGCAGTGATGGAAGAGGGTGGCAAGGAATGTAGAGGTGAGCAGTGTTGGAAGAGGGTGGCAAGGAATGCAGAGTTGAGCAGAATTGGAAGAGGGTGGCAAAGAATGCAGAGGTGAGCAGTATTAGTAGAGTGTCAGGGTATGTAGAGGTGAGCAGTATTGGAAGAGGGTGGCAAGGAATGCAGAGGTGAGCAGTGTTGGAAGAGTGTCAGGGTATGTAGAGGTGAGCAGTGTTGGAAGAGGGTTGCAAGGAATGCAGGGGTAGCAGTGTTGGAAGAGGGTGGCAGGGAATGCAGAGGTGAGCAGTGATGGAAGAGGGTGGCAAGGAATGCAGAGGTGAGCAGTGTTGGAAGAGGGTGGCAAGGAATGCAGAGTTGAGCAGAATTGGAAGAGGGTGGCAAAGAATGCAGAGGTGAGCAGTATTAGTAGAGTGTCAGGGTATGTAGAGGTGAGCAGTATTGGAAGAGGGTTGCAGGGAATGCAGGGGTAGCAGTGTTGGAAGAGGGTTGCAGGGAATGCAGGGGTAGCAGTGTTGGAAGAGGGTGGCAGGGAATGCAGAGGTGAGCAGTGATGGAAGAGGGTGGTAAAGGGTGCAGTGTTGGAAGAGGTTTGCAGGGGGTGCAGAAGTGAGCAGTGTCAGAATAGGGTTGCATGAGGAAGCAGTGTTGGAAGAGGGAGTGTAGGGGTGAACCCCAGTGCTAGGAGTGTGAACGTACGGTGTCTCTGAAGTTGGGGTTTGGACAGTTGAGAGGCACCAGTGTTCCCTCTCCACCTGCATCAGTGTGGCAATCACACAGATTACAGGAGTAGCACATAGACTGAGGGAATCAGCGGCAGCATGGAATAGAGACCTATACTGAATGACACACATCTAGCTCTGTTAAGTGATCTGAAGCTAAAAAGACATGTTGCCTGCCTAGTACCCGCTATAAATGTCTATTGATCTACCTAGCAGTCATGTTGCTGCATGACATTTTGCTGTAGTGTTGCTGCACAGTACAGACTAAACATTGTTGCTAGCAAAATAAATACATAAATATTATTACTATTGAATACCTTCTTGGCTATGTTTCTGTCCTTATGATTAAGTTTGAGAATATACAGCATTTTAGAATTAAATTATGCAATGATGTAAATGTACAATATGTAAATTGTCGGTGCTAGATAACTGCCTGTAATAAATATTTAGATTAACATTTCCCTGTTGAAAGACCATGGCCATGTTAAATGAAAGCAATGCACCTAAGTACATTCTCCACCTACAATGGCTTGCTGGGTATACAGCATACAAAAAAGGAGTCCCTGGAATATTTTTTGAAATGTTGGTAGCTATAATATTTGCCTGTGTCTAAAGTTAGGCTTCTGTTGTATAGGCATATATGATCAAAAATACAATCCTCTGGTGAAATAAACATATTGGAGACATTCTAAATCACGCATGATTTGTGTGTAACAAATTGTAATATCAAAGACTTAGGCAGGCCATAGATTATGCAATTTTACTTTCCTGCCATGGGCTGCAGGAAAGAAAATCGCTCGATTCCCCCATCAAAATTGATTGTGATGATGGGGGAATCCCTCCTGCGGAGCCCCGGCTGCCACGAGAGCACAATGGTCACTGCTAGGGGCTATGGCTGCTGCCAATAATCGCATGCTTAAAGTCTGACATGCTGGTTGTACCCAAGTCTATCGACTGATCAATGTGGGTACAATCAGCCTACCCATAGATGGATCGAATCTCAACCAGTCCCTGCTGAAATTCAATTCATCTATGGCCAGCTTATCTAGTTAATTCCCATTTTAATCCATGGCATATACAGTACATTTTCCGCTAAACCAATAATAAAACTAGGCATTATCTTTAGCAGTCTAAAAATATTCTTTACATGGTACTGAACTAAAAAAGGGAAGTTTTAACATCTTAGATGAACACCAAGGAATGTACATTTTGCCTAAACAGTACTCTGCAAAATCTACCTTTTGTCTTGAATTACTCTGCAATTCCATGCTCACAGCTTTATAGCTGGATATCTGCAACTGAGATTATCTGAGGCACTGGTGCCTCTGACTACTAGAATTATGAGATTGTTCTCTGTAATGCAGAGAAAGGAGTGCATGCATCTCCTTTTTTCTGCTAAATTCATTCTAGGGATTTGTGCTTCCCCCCCATCTCTCTTATGTGCTCTCTACAATGGTTTTGCACAGAGCAGCCTGAATCCTCTTCCTTTTGGGTCTCCTGATGGTGGTCCTAGTGCCTCCTCCCTGCCAAGTGCCCAATAGCAAGTCTCTTGTTATCGGGGCACTCAGACAGGCTTGCTCCCAAGTCGCACTCCTGTGAATTGTTCATTTGCACACAAAGCATGGCTTGGCACCGCCCCCATCCTCTCTCCATTGGCTCACTGGCTGTGATTGACGGCAGCAAGATCCAATGCCTCCCTCTGCTGTGTGAGCCAATAAGGAGAGAGAGACCCAGGACTCAAGAGCCGTGGCTCTCATGCACATTGTTGGATCGAGATGGGTCACAGATAAGTATAAGGGGGGGCTGAGGGGAGAGCTGCACCCAGAAGAATGCATAGAAAGCATTAAAGCAGAAGTCCAACAACTTCTTTACATGTCCTTCTTGTCAATTTCCTACCTTTACTGAATGTCATCCATTTTCTGGTTCACTCAGTAGTTGCTCTGAAATAGCCTATTTATTTTCAAATTAAACTGTTAATTCTCTCTGGTTTCCTGTTTGTATGACCAGTGGCTGTTTTGCCTCCTATTCCCCCAGCCACTGGTCTTGGCACATCCCTTCTGTAGATCAGGAAGCAGTGATGTAATTCAGCCCCATTTGCAGTGGTGGGCGCACCAAGACTCTCAGACACCTTCAACATATACAGGCCTAGTGTACCCACCCACGTTCAATACTTTTTCTGTGGTAGATGGGAACTGTAGTTTCCTTTTACTACAGAGAGAGAAGAGAGGATATGATTTAATCCCTGCTGTTACACCTCCTTGGCAGAGCAGATGCTGTGATCTTTTGAATTGCAGAGGTTAGGTCATGAAAATTAAATTAGACTTTTCTCCTAAATGGTAAGGATTTTCAAAATTGTATTAACGGTTTGGTGTTTTGTGTAGGGGGGTGTATTAATGGGTGATTTTTTTTGCCTACCCCAGAGTTCTAATTCTAGGTTCCCTGTGTACCAATATACCATTAATGTACCTATTTTCAAAAAAGAAAATAACGTCCTATGTGTCCTAGGACAGGCATTACCTCTCAGCCTTCGGTTTGTTGTATAAAAAACTCCACCATCACTTCCTGGTATCCATCCTTTAGGTCGGGAAAATTGTTAAGATACGGGAAGGAGTTCACCAGGTGACCTCATTAACACACACCCTGCATCTGCCCTCCCCTTCTAGGAGATTGTTCCCACCAACCATTTCTGTACTGGCATACAATTAATGTGAATGAACAACATTTTCACTGAATACACAGCCAGGGTCTTTCTTGTTTTGATGATCTTTCATCGATCGCTCATTTGGCAGAATGTGCAAGAGCTGAGCAATCACAGCCTATGTGGAGCAGAGCTGTAGTAATGAAAACGGGAGAACTGTGTCCCTGGAAGTCTGTAAGGCTCACCATACACTATGCAATCTGATTAAACAATAACCTTTAGAGCTACCATCATCTATGCAGTGCAAGGGCCTGCCTGATTGGATACAGAGTGAATGGATAGGTGGTGTGTCCTCCTAGGTGAACACCCCCTATTCTGTGATGCAGAAAGGCAGTGCATGATGGGAGATGAGCTACAGAAAGTGATGGAATCCGAAAGCATTTTTTAAAACTCAAATAGATAAAAATACAAAAAAGGGAAATGTTGCTTTTCCTCCTTCTCCCCCTCCTCTACTACTTTGTGGTTATTTTTTTTTTCTTCAACCAGGTACCTATTTTTGACAAGTACCTGATTCGATACTGGGAAGCCTGCTAAGAAGCACCAGGAAGTCACACTCAGCTTCCCACATCCAAGATGGTTCCGCTGGGGTCTCTCGACAAAGAACTGACCCAGGTGAGGAAATCACTGGTCTCTGGACTAGTAAGTGCCTATTTATTAAAAGTCAGCAGATTCAGTATTTGTAGCTGCTGACTTCTAATTTTTTCCCAAGGCAAAGTTCCCCTTAGGTAAAGGAACCTAAATTCTTATCTTGTACCTTAACCGAAAAAGGGTAATAAAAAGAACAAATACTATTGAAAAAGGATGAACAGAAAATAATGATCACTGTACTTACTCTTTCCATTTCTTTAAAATCATCATCAAGCTTGGTCCCTTCGGCCCCTCCAACCTTCTCACTCACTTTCTGTAATAAAATTAGACAGACAATCAGTATAATAAATTCAACTCTGTGAAGAACTGCATTCAATGAAGAGGCTACTTAAGAAGTGAGCTAATAATTCAGTGAGATGGTTCTCTCCCAGCAATTACAATCATCTTCACTCATCCCCCTTGCAGAACTCCCCAGATTGTTAAAATGAAATGTTCTTCTGTTTATTGATGGTCTAAATTTTCTAGAAACTTTGTGACAAAAAAAGGATTGTAATTTTATTATTGGAACCTGTAGGTACATCAGAGGTCATTTATACAAATGAATGTGTCGTAAAAAGTGTAAGTAACATATTTCTCATGGGCATCACTAATGATGATGAGTGCAGAAGGTACCCAGAAGGAACTGAAAGGGCTTGCAAGGGTCTCTGAAACTGTGCATATGATAATCAGAATCTAAACCATAGAACATATGTGCAATGATACATTCATGTGTCATAGCAGCAGAGGTTGCCAGCTGCCCATATATCCTTTCAATTTGACATGCCCACAGCCTGTGTCAGTGGGTGTACTGCATCCACTTACAATGCAGATTGGCTGACAAGCTTGGCAAATGCAAATATATTATACACTGGCATTACCAAGTCACATTATTATTTTCCATAAAAAGCTACCTCTGTTGCCCTGAATAAAAAAAATGCCATCTAAAGCTTGACAATCCATAGCTATCAGGAGGACTTAAAGTGAAGCTCCAGTCAAAGCTAAAGAAATAAAAGTCAGCAGCTACAAAAACTGTAGCTGCTGACTTTTAAAAAACAGCCACTTACCTGCCCCTCAGTCCAGTTGTGTACTCTACCGGCAATCCTCACCCGCCAGCTTCGGCATCTTAAGTGTGGGCTTAGGCTGGCCATATACTATACAATTTTCTTACAATTGTCTGTCCAATTTTCTTTAGATTTACCTTCAACTATGTAGTGCAAGGACCTGCCTAACTGGATACAATTAGGCTGGACATACAGTCAGGTCCATAAATATTGGGACATCGACACAATTCTAACATTTTTGGCTCTATACACCATCACAATGGCAGAGCATCACCAGGGATGAAACCCAGCGTCTGGTGATATCTATGCGTTCCAGACTTCAGGCTGTAATTGACTGCAAGGGATTTGCAACCAAGTATTAAAAAGTGAAAGTTTGATGATTATTATTCTGTCCCATTACTTTTGGTCCCTTAACAAGTGGAAGGCACATATGCAAACTGTTGTAATTCCTACACCGTTCACTTGATTTGGATGTAAATACCCTCAAATTAAAGCTGACAGTCTGCAGTTAAAGCACATCTTGTTCGTTTCATTTCAAATCCATTGTGGTAGTGTATAGAGCCAAAAATGTTAGAGTTGTGTTGATGTCCCAATATTTATGGACCTGACTGTACATTATACAATTGTCTTGAGAATTTTGCTTTAGATTTACCAAAAACCATATAAATATAAGGTCAAACCTAAACAACACTTTCAATTGTATTCAATTAGGCAGGCCCTTGTACTACATAGTTGAAGGTAAATCTAAAGGAAATTTGGACAGAAATTGGACAGAAAATTGTAAGAAAATAGTATAATGTATGGCCAGCCCTAGTGCTGATAATAATATTTACATTACAGAACCAAAAACAGCAACAGTACAGACACCATGGGTTTGATTTACTAAAGGCAAATATACTGTTCACTGCAGCTTCTCCAGAGCTTAGTAAATAAGGAAAATCTTCACTTTGCAAAGAATACCCAATCACGTGCAAGGATAAAAAAAAAAAAAAAAAAAAACATGATTGGATGATAGAAATCAGCAGAGCTTCCCCTCAGATCTAGAGCAACTGCAGTTGTAGTGCACAGTGTATTTGCCTTCAGTAAACCAACCCCTTGTGATTTTTGAGTACTTGTGGCAGTCTCCAGACCAATCCATTTGTCTCTATAGACACTCTTGAATGAAAGGCCCTGGATGTACACAGGGTCCTAATATTCTTCTAAACCCAAATTAAATCCTACAACCAACCAATTACTAGACTCCTCTCAGCACCACCAGAACCAGATATTCCTATTTCAGGTACTTCAGGGCTTTTTTTCAGCTGGAATGTGAGGGAACACAGTTCTGGCACCTTCAGCACTGACAGTATGTAATGGAAAAGGGTGCTGGGTTGTGCTGGGGAGTCTATTGATACTGACTGCTGGGGATCTGATTTTGCCGGAGGGGATCTATTTTTGCAGGGTATCTATTGTCCTGGGAAGGTCTGTTGTTGGTGTTGGGGGATCTATTGTTACTGGGTGGGTCTTATGATGCTGGGAGGGGTCTATTATTGATGTGAGGGATCTACTGTTGAGGGAGGAGTCTATTGTTGATGACTACTGGATGGTCTATTGATGCTGGCTGATGGGAGATCCATTGTTGCCGTTTGGGGTCTATTGTTGCTATGGGGTATTTTGTTGCAGGTGGTCTATTGTTGCTGGCGGTTATCTATTGTTGCTGGGGGGCGGACTATTATTGCTGGAGCATCCATTGTTGCTGTGGAGCTTTATTGTTGCTGGGGGGGGGTGGTGGACCTGTTGTTGCTGGGTGTCGATTGTTGCATCTACAGGGGATCTGTTATACTGCTTTTCTTATTTATTTATTACAGGTACTTATATAGTGCCATCAATTTACGCAGCGCTTTACACATATATATTGTACATTCACATCAGTCCCTAACCCTCAAGGGGTGTACAATCTAAGGTCCTTAACGCACATTCATACATACACATACTAGGGCCAATTTAGACAGGAGCCAATTAACCTAACAGCATGTCTTTGGAGTGTGGGAGGGAACTGGAGTACCCGGAGGAAACCCACACAGGCACAGGGAGAACATGCAAACTCCAGGCAAGTGGTGCCGTGGCTGGGATTCGAACCAACGACCCTAGTACTGCCAGGCGGAAGTGCTAACCATTTAGCCACTATGCTGTCACTTAGCCACTTGTTATCATTCGCAAATTCCATACAAATGACTTAACACCACAAAATGATACTTGGTTCTGTATCCTCTAAAGGGTGTCTCTGGGAGGTGGGTAGGGAGAGGAACCAAGGAACAGCGCTCGGAGGTGGGTAAGGGGGCGGAGACAAGGGTTGACTTGGAAAGGGAGACTTCTTGCACCTATTCTGAGAAAAAAAGCCCTGCGGCATTTTAAACAGACTGAACAGTATCATGGACAGTAGTGAATGCTAATAGCAATGACAGATGAACGTCTGGGAATCAAGAATCCGAGAGGGGAGCCACTGTAGACCAAAGTTAGAACCAGAATACCAAGCAAAAACAAGGTCAACAGGCAACTCTAGACACAAGAGAAGCCACAAGTCATGGAAAGGTCGCATGGTCTGGATGAGCTCTTCTACCTATAGTAACATCTTTTAGACAAACAACCAGTGTTGAGTATTAACCAGTTACCACAGAAAATATGAAAAAGAGTTTGATATCCTGGACAGGGTCTGCGTAAAACCACCTGCCCCCACTGCCTTATACTCACCTTCTCAACACAACCCTGCACCTACTTCTTCCACTGCTGCAAAAAAGCTCAGAGCTTCCAGGTATAGGGTAGCTTGCAACCTTACATGATGTAGTACATGGGCATAGTATCCAATTTCCAGGCCCAAGAATTCTCACATGATGGAAAGGGTGGGATCACCAACACCGAGTAATTTCCAGTGGCTTTGACGAAGAAGGGAGCTATGGGATAGTGTTGTGAAAAAGGGTATAGATTGGTCAAGGGAGGGCTTTGAAGAGACTATCATTTTGCCCTGAATTGACAAGGTGACAGGGCCTCTTTAAAATCTATTCATGGGCAAATTGCAAAATCTTATGTTTATTTCACTTATTTCTAACCTAGTCCTATTAATCTGAACAATTTTGAAGTTTGTAAATCTACTTTGTGAAGATTCGCACACATTTACCTCCTTGCATTCTGTGATATGTATTCAATATGCCCTGTGAGTAGGCACTGCTGTGTCACAAAATTCATAGACCCTGAACGACAGAGGTGCTGAGAGGAGGAGTTTCAGGAAGCAGAGTCAGTACAGGAATCACTGCATGCTACCATGGGATATGTAGTCCTTAGGCCCCTTTCAGACAAGGTGGACCCGTCAGCAGATCCGTTTGATCAGCGGGGGATCTGTCTGCTGATCCCCGCTGAGCAAGGAGATGACAACTCTGGTTCACAACCTGCTTTTTCCTATAGGGCGGTCGGATGGAAACGAACCGCCCATCCATTTCCACCCTACTGTCATCCGATCTGCCGGATGGATGGGGAAGGGATCTGTCTGTCTTTGGCATACAGGATTGGATGCCGTCGGGTGTCAGCAGACACTTGTGTGCTGACGCCAACCGGTCCATAGAGGTCTATGGATGGTCTGATGGGGTCTGCCTGAAAAACTGATGAGTGGACCTGATTGGACTGTCAGTGTGAAAGGGGTATAAGCAGAACTCACAACATTAAAGGAGAATTTTAAAAAAGGAGAATTTTAAAAAACCATTTGGATTGTCAAAAAGGACTATTGTTTGTATGAACATTACAATGCTGGTGCTCTAAAATGAAATGCCTGCTGTGACCATAGTTTTAATTTTTTGTTTTTTTTTACCTGAAACTGGACAATCAGTAGAAATGAACACAAGGCTAGCCAATCAGTATGGATTAATATAAGATATAAGAACCAAGCAAGACAAAAAATAGTTACCCAACAGAATACTGCAAGGACATAGAATGGAAAAAGAATAAAAGTGACAAGTGATACAAAGAGCTAAAATAGGAAAAAAAAAAAGAAAAAAGAGGAAGTGGAGACAGAAAATCTGATCAAAGTTGAGGCTTTTCAAAAATGCCAGAGAAAGCGAGGAGGGAATGCCAGGGCCCAAAAAAAAATCATGTACCGGCAAGGGTTGCCAACGAAACACGTACATTTTTATAGCCTCAGGAGTTACTGGGCACAGTCAGTACAGACAGGTGAAAGCAGAGAGGACAG